ATGGCTAACCTCCAACACGGAGTGGCCTGTCATGAAATTTGGCCTGCGTGTCATTTTGCTTGTGTCGATCTGTGATTTTGGCCTTACATGTATTGTCCTGGCTATGGCCATGAGTGCCGGACCAATGCAGTTGCACGTCACGAACATTTTTGGGCATTTCGTCACAGGAAACACTAGAGGGCAGCAAACAACTTTAACAGTAACATGATTCATGTTGGGAGTGAACATACCAATAGTACTGAGCAGACGAGAAAGGAATTAAATTTAATGACGTCTTGGAAAGAATTCCATATACGGACTCCAGTTATTTTCCTAGATATGACTTGAACAGTACCAAAAGTTGTAAATCTGACGAAGAAACGGAAATTTAGGAGGGGAAAAAATCAAGATTTTCTTTAAAAATACTTTTCCTGTCATGGCCCATAGAGGTGGAGGCTTATATGGAATTCTTTCCAGTGTTCCTAACGTGGCGCACTTGAACAAATCCCCAAAAATCCCACATTAACATTTAAGAAATTCTTTAAAGTTGTTAATCTCTGATAAATCATGATTATCCCAACTCACATACCCAACTACAAGTTTGTCACATTTACGTAAGCCGCATAAATCTGTGGCATCATGACTGTACCGCGTAGAGTGCGCGGGGACCTGGCCAGCTGTAGGGCGGCTAGGCATGCACGCACACGCTGTCAAAATGTCAAGTTGGATAACGGTCGAGTTGTCCGACCCCATGGGTACAAAGCCTATGGAGAAAACAACGTGCACAATGCCTATGGAGAAAAGAACGTGTACAAACCCTAAGGAGAAAAGAACGTGTACAAACTCTATGGAGAAAAGAACGTGTACAAACTCTATGGAGAAAAGAACGTGAACAAACTCTATGGAGAAAAGAACGTGTACAAAACCTATGGAGAAAAGAACGTGTACAAACCCTATGGAGAAAAGAACGTGTACAAACCCTATGGACAAAAAATGCACCTTTAATGTTACGTAACTTGACACTTGATGACGTCATGATTACGAATTTCTTCTAGGACCATCTGTGGATGGTGGTCTAAGTGGGTGCCAAGTCTGAGGTTGATGCAATTTAAGAAAGTGCCAAAGTGCCCTTGCTGAAGAAAAAACGTGTACAAACCCTAGGAAGAAGAGTCTGAAAGAGAAAAAGAAAAAAAAAAAAAAGAAAAAAAAAAAAAAAAAAGAAAAAAAAAAACTTTAACGAAAACAAGAGCTGTTTCGGTTGTAACCGAAACAGCTAAAAACTAGAGGTCTATGTCTGTTTGCAACAGAACATAGGGCTTTTCCGCATTACGATTTTTTTTAATCAATAATATGCCCTGAATATGCATGAACATAAAATCTGTCAAAGTTAGCCGAAAATCGGCTAAAACGGTCACTGTGGACACGATTTGACCTCGGCAATACGATGTATGTGCGTGTGTACAAGGTCTTTGCTTGGACAAAGAGTGATCTAAATAAATTACTGGCAAAGAGTAGAAAAGGCACTCTGAAAATCGACAAATATTTTTTAATTTTTTGATGACGTCATCGTGACGTCACTTTGAACTTTGCATACTAGTCTGATTAACTACCTACCCACCAAGTTTCATGACAATTGGACCTTTCCTTATATGAGTTTTGAAAAATCGCATTTTGATGACGTCATGATGACGTCACACATTTTTCAAGTTTTGTGCGAATAGCTATTAAATAACAGACCAAACGCAAAGAAGAATTTTGCATTTTGCATGTTGCGTTCGGGAGATATGGCTAAAAGCCTCCAAAAAAATAAATATTCATATAAAATCTCAGGATGATGTCATCATGACGTCACCTCATTTTTAATCTATAACACATCCTGGTATAGCCACATACCAATTTTCAACCCAGTCGGACTTACATTTCTGTAGATATAAGACTTCACAATATGTACGTAAATTTTCAAAAATCAATAAAAAAAATAGGTGATGACGTCATCGTGACGTCATTGTCTTGGCATAATTTTTGTATGAGGGTCTTCCTTGGCTGTAACTTTGATGACGATTCCAGATCGCCAAGTTATAAAAATGGTGGCTTGAAAACGTGTACAAAGTCAATGGGTTAAAAATCCCACAGCAGAAAAACTGCACCTTTAAATACGTGATTTGCCTTTAAACTGAAACATTTTTATAAAATATTACTTGCTATTCTGACTCTTGGGAATATTTTCAATCAAATGGCAAATGTAAAAAATACAATTTCTTTTTCCTTCTCATAGTAATTCTCGGCCGAAGTTCAGAACTAGTCAGTAAGATATATCAGTGTTGTATAGGAAAAGACTTGTGGATAAAGCTGTGTACAAAGTCTATGAGAAAAATTAATTATTCATGAATCCATAATAAATCACTTGATGATGACGTCATCATGACGTCAAAGTCTTGGCATAATTTTTGTATGAGGGTCTTCCTTGGCTGTAACTTTGATGATGATTCCAGATCGCCAAGTTATAAAAATGGTGGCTTGAAAACGTGTACAAAGTCAATAGGTTAAAAATCCCACAGCAGAAAAACTGCACCTTTAAATGCGTGATTTTCCTTTAAACTGAAACATTTTTATAAAATATTACTTGCTATTCTAACTCTTGGGAATATTTTCCATCAAATGACAGGCGTAAAAAAATATGATTTCTTTTTCCTTCTCATAGTAATTCTCAGCCGAAGTTCAGAACTACTCAGTAAGATATATCAGTGTTGTATAGGAAAAGACTTGTGGAGAAAGCTGTGTACAAAGTCTATGAGAAAAAATAATTATTCATAAATCCATAATAAATCAGTTGATGACGTCACCATGACGTCACTCTTCGGGACACATCTTGGCTATAGGGACTATGCTTATGCCAACTTTCAATGATATCTGACAAAGATTAATGCCAAAAGTGCTATAATACGTCCCTGTCTATGGTGTGTACACCGAAACAGCTAAAAAAAATCTTAACGAAAACAAGAGCTGTTTCGGTGTGTCACCGAAACAGCTAAAAAAAAAAAGAAAAAAAAAAATCTTAACAAAAACAAGAGCTGTTTCGGTGTGTCACCGAAACAGCTAAAAAAAAGAAAAAAAAAAATCTTAACGAAAATAAGAGCTGTTTCGGTGGGTCACCGAAACAGCTAAAAAGCCGCGTCGCCACACCACTTTTGGGGCAAGCTCCATACCAGAAACCGGAGACTTTTTTTTTTGGCCTTATATTAAATTGTTTCATGCATGTACCGAGTTTCGTAATTTTTCGTCACTCGATTGGCCAAGATCTGAAGGGGGCGGAATCCGCCCTCAACCCCCCCCCCCCCCCCCCCCCCCCCCCCCCCCGGCTGTGAGATGGCCAAAATAACCCGGCCCTGTAGGGTTAACACGTCTTAATTTTGCATGTGATCCTTCCCCTCCCCTCCCCCATCTCCCCCATCCCCCATTCAGACTTCTGGTTGGGAAGTGAGGGCGAGTGAAAGAACAAATCAATAAAATAATAAATACATTTTTAAGTAGACAACTTTTTGCCGTGTTATTTACGTTGGATACTTATGTAAATTTTGGTTTGTTTTTGGTGTTACGAAACTGTGTTGACTGTTAGGTGTTTTAACATTAAGTTTGGCATTTTTTTCAAAGTCTATCGTAATTTGGTCTTCTGGTTTTTTTTAATGATGGCTGTTCTTTATTTGGCAAGAATCAGTTTGCCAAAATCAGTCAAGCAAGTAAACAAACAAAACACTACGACTCCGATGTAGCTTAAGGTAGGTTTTGTATCATTGGTTTCCACATCTTTGCGTTCTCTTCTTTTTAGTCAACCATGAGTATAAACAAAAGGGAACAAACGAAGGAAAGGATCAGGTTCTCATGAGTATAGTAAAACATGTGTTCAAGCATTACATTCACTTTGTGGACTTCCGAGCAAATGATGTTTACATCAAACAGGTAGCAGCGACGTTGTGTGGACTTGCCCATGTCCACACAATGTTTCCCCCTCTCTGGAAAAAAACAGGTTTAGAGGCATTTTCGGGTTAAAAAAGTAAAGTGAAACGACTGAGAATATTTCTACTCCCCCGGAATGGGATGCCAGTCCATCGCAGGTTACTCCCCAGCTAATGCCGGTACCTATTTATACTCCTGGGTGGAGAGGGGCAAGTGGGGGTGAAGTGCCTTGCCCAAGGACACAATATATGGCCAGCGGCTGGATTCGAACCCCGGACCCTCTGATCACGAACCCTTACCACTAGGCCACACACTCCCCATTTTCGGGTTAGGTTTACTTGTATTTGCGGCAAAATGAAGAGAAACACCAAAGGGATTCATAAAAAAAACTGGGTTGAAAGAGTTTTCTCAGTGTGAGTAAAATGAGTTTTTTTCACAGGTTTTTCTTAACTACACGAAAACAAAAGAATGTCCACACTAGGTATGTAACGTGCATGTGTCTGTGTGTGTGTTATACACGAAATTGCGCCTAAAATGATTGTCCGAACTTCCGAAAAGTCCTTTGTTCTTCTTCAAGCGCAAGCCAAGACTTTGCACTTGCGAAGAGTTCTGGTTCACGCACGCTCTTCAACCGTTTACATTTTGCGAATTCTTACCGGAACTGAATGGGTGGTTTGCCGAGAGAGAATAAAAAAGACTGGTTTCCAGTGTCTTCATATTACGCTATAGATATGGAAAGAAGGAACAGGAACCAGTCTTTTATTCTTCTTTATTATTTATTGTATGAGTATTTTCATTTTTGAATTATTGCACAAGTGTCTCATATAGCAAGTTATCGCATTTTCAACGCTGAGGGCGCGGGGTATTTACGAGTCCACACTCATTCAGTTACGAAATCGTCACACGCACGGCTCAAAATGTTATCACGGATAAAAAGTCACAACTCACATATTAAATTGTTGGCCTGAAAAGAAACTACGTGAGAATGTATGGGGTCTACTTTTTACAGTGTCGATTATGATAAAAGCGAGCATTTTTTGACAGCCCCATTTTCCTTCCATTTCCAGTGCACGGTCAATGGGGCGAGTGGTCTCTGTGGAGTGAGTGTAGCGCCACCTGCGGTGACACAATGGCCAGGTTTCGTGAGTGCGATTCGCCCCGCCCACAATTTGGGGGGAACCCGTGCGTCGGAGAGAGCAGAGAGGTGCAGTGGTGCAACGATAAGAGGCACTGCCCGAGTAAGTTTGGAAAACAACACATGAAGAAATTGTAAACCATTCGGCCATACGTTTTAACCCTAAAACTAGTAAGAGGGCCGGGGAGGAATCCGCCTACCCCCCCCCTCCAAACTTATTCCACGATACCCTTGCAAAATGTTGTCCTCACTTTTTTTGCCTTGAGTCTTGCGCATCTTTTGATACCACAAGCATAAATTTTCCAGTGAAAACTGAATTTCCCCAAATACGTAGTGTACACAAAGCAGAATTACCACTGGTGCATATGAATAATTAATTAGCCATAATTCCAAAACCCTTTGACTTATAGTCATGAAATGTCTTGGTATGTTTATATTAAGTTGTTTCATGCATGTACCGAGTTTCGTAATTTTTCGTCACTCGATGGCCAAGATCTGAAGGGGGCGGAATCCGCCCTCCCTCCCCCCCCCCCCCCCGCTGGGAGATGGCCAAAATAACCCGGCCCTTTAGGGTTAACACGTATTAATTTTGCGTGTGATCCTTCCCCTCCCCTCCCCCACCCCCACATCTCCCCCCATCCCCCATTCAGACTTCTGGTTGCGAAGTGAGGGCGAGTGAAAGAACAAATCAAAAAAATTATTAAATACATTTTTAAGTAGACAACTTTTTGCCATGTTATTTACGTTGGATACTTATGTAAATTTTGGTTTGTTTTTGGTGTTACGAAACTGTGTTGCATGTTAGGTGTTTTAACATTAAGTTTGGCATTTTTTTCAAAGTCTATCGTAATTTGGTCTTCTGGTTTTTTTTAATGATGGCTGTTCTTTATTTGGCAAGAATCAGTTTGCCAAAATCAATCAAGCAAGTAAACAAACAAAACACTACGACTCCGATGTAGCTTAAGGTAGGTTTTGTATCATTGGTTTCCACATCTTTGCGTTCTCTTCTTTTTAGTCAACCATGAGTACAAACAAAAGGGAACAAACGAAGGAAAGGATCAGGTTCTCATGAGTATAGTAAAACATGTGTTCAAGCATTACATTCACTTTGTGGACTTCCGAGCAAATGATGTTTACATCAAACAGGTAGCAGCGACGTTGTGTGGACTTGCCCACGTCCACACAATGTTTCCCCCTCTCTGGAAAAACAGGTTTAGAGGCATTTTCGGGTTAAAAAAGTAAAGTCTGTCGCGGTTCATCAGGCCGGGGTTTGTCTCCGGTTTCCTTGGCATGAAACGACTGAGAATATTTCTACTCCCCCGGAATGGGATGCCAGTCCATCGCAGGTTACTCCCCAGCTAATGCCGGTACCTATTTATACTCCTGGGTGGAGAGGGGCAAGTGGGGGTGAAGTGCCTTGCCCAAGGACACAATATATGGCCAGCGGCTGGATTCGAACCCCGGACCCTCTGATCACGAACCCTTACCACTAGGCCACACACTCCCCATTTTCGGGTTAGGTTTACTTGTATTTGCGGCAAAATGAAGAGAAACACCAAAGGGATTCATAAAAAAAAAACTGGGTTGAAAGAGTTTTCTCAGTGTGAGTAAAATGAGTTTTTTTCACAGGTTTTTCTTAACTACACGAAAACAAAAGAATGTCCACACTAGGTATGTAACGTGCATGTGTCTGTGTGTGTGTTATACACGAAATTGCGCCTAAAATGATTGTCCGAACTTCCGAAAAGTCCTTTGTTCTTCTTCAAGCGCAAGCCAAGACTTTGCACTTGCGAAGAGTTCTGGTTCACGCACGCTCTTCAACTGTTTACATTTTGCGAATTCTTACCGGAACTGAATGGGTGGTTTGCCGAGAGAGAATAAAAAAGACTGGTTTCCAGTGTCTTCATATTACGCTATAGATATGGAAAGAAGGAACAGGAACCAGTCTTTTATTCTTCTTTATTATTTATTGTATGAGTATTTTCATTTTTGAATTATTGCACAAGTGTCTCATATAGCAAGTTATCGCATTTTCAATGCTGAGGGCGCGGGGTATTTACGAGTCCACACTCATTCAGTTACGAAATCGTCACACGCACGGCTCAAAATGTTATCACGGATAAAAGTCACAACTCACATATTAAATTGTTGGCCTGAAAAGAAACTACGTGAGAATGTATGGGGTCTACTTTTTACAGTGTCGATTATGATAAAAGCGAGCATTTTTTGACAGCCCCATTTTCCTTCCATTTCCAGTGCACGGTCAATGGGGCGAGTGGTCTCTGTGGAGTGAGTGTAGCGCCACCTGCGGTGACACAATGGCCAGGTTTCGTGAGTGCGATTCGCCCCGCCCACAATTTGGGGGGAACCCGTGCGTCGGAGAGAGCAGAGAGGTGCAGTGGTGCAACGATAAGAGGCACTGCCCGAGTAAGTTTGGAAAACAACACATGAAGAAATTGTAAACCATTCGGCCATACGTTTTAACCCTAAAACTAGTAAGAGGGCCGGGGAGGAATCCGCCAACCCCCCCCCCTCCAAACTTATTCCACGATACCCTTGCAAAATGTTGTCCTCACTTTTTTTGCCTTGAGTCTTGCGCATCTTTTGATACCACAAGCATAAATTTTCCAGTGAAAATTGAATTTCCCCAAATACGTAGTGTACACAAAGCAGAATTACCACTGGTGCATATGAATAATTAATTAGCCATAATTCCAAAACCCTTTGACTTATAGTCATGAAATGTCTTGGTATGTTTATATTAAGTTGTTTCATGCATGTACCGAGTTTCGTAATTTTTCGTCACTCGATGGCCAAGATCTGAAGGGGGCGGAATCCGCCCTCCCTCCCCCCCCCCCCCCCCCCCCCCCCCCGCGGCTGTGAGATTGCCAAAATAACCCGGCCCTTTAGGGTTAACACGTATTAATTTTGCGTGTGATCCTTCCCCTCCCCTCCCCCACCCCCACATCTCCCCCCATCCCCCATTCAGACTTCTGGTTGCGAAGTGAGGGCGAGTGAAAGAACAAATCAAAAAAATAATAAATACATTTTTAAGTAGACAACTTTTTGCCATGTTATTTACGTTGGATACTTATGTAAATTTTGGTTTGTTTTTGGTGTTACAAAACTGTGTTGACTGTTAGGTGTTTTAACATTAAGTTTGGCATTTTTTTCAAAGTCTATCGTAATTTGGTCTGCTGGGTATTTTTAATGATGGCTTTTCTTTATTTGGCAAGAATCAGTTTGCCAAAATCAATCAAGCAAGTAAACAAACAAAACACTACGACTCCGATGTTGTTTAAGGTAGGTTTTGTTTCATTGGTTTCCACATCTTTGCGTTCTCTTCTTTTTAGTCAACCATGAGTACAAACAAAAGGGAACAAACGAAGGAAAGGATCAGGTTCTCATGAGTATAGTAAAACATGTGTTCAAGCATTACATTCACTTTGTGGACTTCCGAGCAAATGATGTTTACATCAAACAGGTAGCAGCGACGTTGTGTGGACTTGCCCACGTCCACACAATGTTTCCCCCTCTCTGGAAAAAAACAGGTTTAGAGGCATTTTCGGGTTAAAAAAGTAAAGTCTGTCGCGGTTCATCAGGCCGTGTTTGTCTCCGGTTTCCTTGGCATGAAACGACTGAGAATATTTCTACTCCCCCGGAATGGGATGCCAGTCCATCGCAGGTTACTCCCCAGCTAATGCCAGTACCTATTTATACTCCTGGGTGGAGAGGGGCAAGTGGGGTGAAGTGCCTTGCCCAAGGACACAATATATGGCCAGCGGCTGGATTCGAACCCCGGACCCTCTGATCACGAACCCTTACCACTAGGCCACACACTCCCCATTTTCGGGTTAGGTTTACTTGTATTTGCGGCAAAATGAAGAGAAACACCAAAGGGATTCATAAAAAAAAAACTGGGTTGAAAGAGTTTTCTCAGTGTGAGTAAAATGAGTTTTTTTCACAGGTTTTTCTTAACTACACGAAAACAAAAGAATAGGTATGTAACGTGCATGTGTCTGTGTGTGTGTTATACACGAAATTGCGACTAAAATGATTGTCCGAACTTCCGAAAAGTCCTTTGTTCTTCTTCAAGCGCAAGCCAAGACTTTGCACTTGCGAAGAGTTCTGGTTCACACACGCTCTTCAACCGTTTACATTTTGCGAATTCTTACCGGAACTGAATGGGTGGTTTGCTGAGAGAGAATAAAAAAGACTGGTTTCCAGTGTCTTCATATTACGCTATAGATATGGAAAGAAGGAACAGGAACCAGTCTTTTATTATTCTTTATTATTTATTGTATGAGTATTTTCATTTTTGAATTATTGCACAAGTGTCTCATATAGCAAGTTATCGCATTTTCAACGCTGAGGGCGCGGGGTATTTACGAGTCCACACTCATTCAGTTACGAAATCGTCACACGCACGGCTCAAAATGTTATCACGGATAAAAAGTCACAACTCACATATTAAATTGTTGGCCTGAAAAGAAACTACGTGAGAATGTATGGGGTCTACTTTTTACAGTGTCGATTATGATAAAAGCGAGCATTTTTTGACAGCCCCATTTTCCTTCCATTTCCAGTGCACGGTCAATGGGGCGAGTGGTCTCTGTGGAGTGAGTGTAGCGCCACCTGCGGTGACACAATGGCCAGGTTTCGTGAGTGCGATTCGCCCCGCCCACAATTTGGGGGGAACCCGTGCGTCGGAGAGAGCAGAGAGGTGCAGTGGTGCAACGATAAGAGGCACTGCCCGAGTAAGTTTGGAAAACAACACATGAAGAAATTGTAAACCATTCGGCCATACGTTTTAACCCTAAAACTAGTAAGAGGGCCGGGGAGGAATCCGCCAACCCCCCCCCCCCCTCCAAACTTATTCCACGATACCCTTGCAAAATGTTGTCCTCACTTTTTTTGCCTTGAGTCTTGCGCATCTTTTGATACCACAAGCATAAATTTTCCAGTGAAAACTGAATTTCCCCAAATACGTAGTGTACACAAAGCAGAATTACCACTGGTGCATATGAATAATTAATTAGCCATAATTCCAAAACCCTTTGACTTATAGTCATGAAATGTCTTGGTATGTTTATATTAAGTTGTTTCATGCATGTACCGAGTTTCGTAATTTTTCGTCACTCGATGGCCAAGATCGGAAGGGGGCGGAATCTCCCCCCATCCCCCATTCAGACTTCTGGTTGCGAAGTGAGGGCGAGTGAAAGAACAAATCAAAAAAATAATAAATACATTTTTAAGTAGACAACTTTTTGCCATGTTATTTACGTTGGATACTTATGTAAATTTTGGTTTGTTTTTGGTGTTACGAAACTGTGTTGACTGTTAGGTGTTTTAACATTAAGTTTGGCATTTTTTTCAAAGTCTATCGTAATTTGGTCTTCTGGTTTTTTTTAATGATGGCTGTTCTTTATTTGGCAAGAATCAGTTTGCCAAAATCAATCAAGCAAGTAAACAAACAAAACACTACGACTCCGATGTAGCTTAAGGTAGGTTTTGTATCATTGGTTTCCACATCTTTGCGTTCTCTTCTTTTTAGTCAACCATGAGTACAAACAAAAGGGAACAAACGAAGGAAAGGATCAGGTTCTCATGAGTATAGTAAAACATGTGTTCAAGCATTACATTCACTTTGTGGACTTCCGAGCAAATGATGTTTACATCAAACAGGTAGCAGCGACGTTGTGTGGACTTGCCCACGTCCACACAATGTTTCCCCCTCTCTGGAAAAAAAACAGGTTTAGAGGCATTTTCGGGTTAAAAAAGTAAAGTCTGTCGCGGTTCATCAGGCCGGTGTTTGTCTCCGGTTTCCTTGGCATGAAACGACTGAGAATATTTCTACTCCCCCGGAATGGGATGCCAGTTCATCGCAGGTTACTCCCCAGCTAATGCCGGTACCTATTTATACTCCTGGGTGGAGAGGGGCAAGTGGGGGTGAAGTGCCTTGCCCAAGGACACAATATATGGCCAGCGGCTGGATTCGAACCCCGGACCCTCTGATCACGAACCTTTACCACTAGGCCACACACTCCCCATTTTCGGGTTAGGTTTACTTGTATTTGCGGCAAAATGAAGAGAACACCAAAGGGATTCATAAAAAAAAAACTGGGTTGAAAGAGTTTTCTCAGTGTGAGTAAAATGAGTTTTTTTCACAGGTTTTTCTTAACTACACGAAAACAAAAGAATAGGTATGTAACGTGCATGTGTCTGTGTGTGTGTTATACACGAAATTGCGCCTAAAATGATTGTCCGAACTTCCGAAAAGTCCTTTGTTCTTCTTCAAGCGCAAGCCAAGACTTTGCACTTGCGAAGAGTTCTGGTTCACACACGCTCTTCAACCGTTTACATTTTGCGAATTCTTACCGGAACTGAATGGGTGGTTTGCTGAGAGAGAATAAAAAAGACTGGTTTCCAGTGTCTTCATATTACGCTATAGATATGGAAAGAAGGAACAGGAACCAGTCTTTTATTATTCTTTATTATTTATTGTATGAGTATTTTCATTTTTGAATTATTGCACAAGTGTCTCATATAGCAAGTTATCGCATTTTCAACGCTGAGGGCGCGGGGTATTTACGAGTCCACACCCATTCAGTTACGAAATCGTCACACGCACGGCTCAAAATGTTATCACGGATAAAAAGTCACAACTCACATATTAAATTGTTGGCCTGAAAAGAAACTACGTGAGAATGTATGGGGTCTACTTTTTACAGTGTCGATTATGATAAAAGCGAGCATTTTTTGACAGCCCCATTTTCCTTCCATTTCCAGTGCACGGTCAATGGGGCGAGTGGTCTCTGTGGAGTGAGTGTAGCGCCACCTGCGGTGACACAATGGCCAGGTTTCGTGAGTGCGATTCGCCCCGCCCACAATTTGGGGGGAACCCGTGCGTCGGAGAGAGCAGAGAGGTGCAGTGGTGCAACGATAAGAGGCACTGCCCGAGTAAGTTTGGAAAACAACACATGAAGAAATTGTAAACCAGTCGGCCATACGTTTTAACCCTAAAACTAGTAAGAGGGCCGGGGAGGAATCCGCCAACCCCCCCCCCCCCCTCCAAACTTATTCCACGATACCCTTGCAAAATGTTGTCCTCACTTTTTTTGCCTTGAGTCTTGCGCATCTTTTGATACCACAAGCATAAATTTTCCAGTGAGAACTGAATTTCCCCTAATACGTAGTGTACACAAAGCAGAATTACCACTGGTGCATATGAATAATTAATTAGCCATAATTCCAAAACCCTTTGACTTATAGTCATGAAATGTCTTGGTATGTTTATATTAAGTTGTTTCATGCATGTACCGAGTTTCGTAATTTTTCGTCACTCGATGGCCAAGATCTGAAAGGGGCGGAATCCGCCCCCCCCCCCCCCCCCCCCCCCCCCCCCGGCTGTGAGATGGCCAAAATAACCCGGCCCTCTAGGGTTAACACGTATTAATTTTGCGTGTGATCCTTCCCCTCCCCTCCCCCATCCCCCATTCAGACTTCTGGTTGGGAAGTGAGGGCGAGTGAAAGAACAAATCAATAAAATAATAAATACATTTTTAAGTAGACAACTTTTTGCCATGTTATTTACGTTGGATACTTATGTAAATTTTGGTTTGTTTTTGGTGTTACGAAACTGTGTTGACTTTTAGGTGTTTTAACATTAAGTTTGGCATTTTTTTCAAAGTCTATCGTAATTTGGTCTTCTGGTTTTTTTTAATGATGGCTGTTCTTTATTTGGCAAGAATCAGTTTGCCAAAATCAATCAAGCAAGTAAACAAACAAAACACTACGACTCCGATGTAGCTTAAGGTAGGTTTTGTATCATTGGTTTCCACATCTTTGCGTTCTCTTCTTTTTAGTCAACCATGAGTACAAACAAAAGGGAACAAACGAAGGAAAGGATCAGGTTCTCATGAGTATAGTAAAACATGTGTTCAAGCATTACATTCACTTTGTGGACTTCCGAGCAAATGATTTTTACATCAAACAGGTAGCAGCGACGTTGTGTGGACTTGCCCACGTCCACACAATGTTTCCCCCTCTCTGGAAAAAAACAGGTTTAGAGGCATTTTCGGGTTAAAAAAGTAAAGTCTGTCGCGGTTCATCAGGCCGGTGTTTGTCTCCGGTTTCCTTGGCATGAAACGACTGAGAATATTTCTACTCCCCCGGAATGGGATGCCAGTTCATCGCAGGTTACTCCCCAGCTAATGCCGGTACCTATTTATACTCCTGGGTGGAGAGGGGCAAGTGGGGGTGAAGTGCCTTGCCCAAGGACACAATATATGGCCAGCGGCTGGATTTGAACCCCGGACCCTCTGATCACGAACCCTTACCACTAGGCCACACACTCCCCATTTTCGGGTTAGGTTTACTTGTATTTGCGGCAAAATGAAGAGAAACACCAAAGGGATTCATAAAAAAAAAATTGGGTTGAAAGAGTTTTCTCAGTGTGAGTAAAATGAGTTTTTTTCACAGGTTTTTCTTAACTACACGAAAACAATAGAATGTCCACACTAGGTATGTAACGTGCATGTGTCTGTGTGTGTGTTATACACGAAATTGCGCCTAAAATGATTGTCCGAACTTCCGAAAAGTCCTTTGTTCTTCTTCAAGTGCAAGCCAAGACTTTGCACTTGCGAAGAGTTCTAGTTCACGCACGCTCTTCAACCGTTTACATTTTGCGAATTCTTACCGGAACTGAATGGGTGGTTTGCTGAGAGAGAATAAAAAAGACTGGTTTCCAGTGTCTTCATATTACGCTATAGATATGGAAAGAAGGAACAGGAACCAGTCTTTTATTCTTCTTTATTATTTATTGTATGAGTATTTTCATTTTTGAATTATTGCACAAGTGTCTCATATAGCAAGTTATCGCATTTTCAACACTGAGGGCGCGGGGTATTTACGAGTCCACACTCATTCAGTTACGAAATCGTCACACGCACGGCTCAAAATGTTATCACGGATAAAAAGTCACAACTCACATATTAAATTGTTGGCCTGAAAAGAAACTACGTGAGAATGTATGGGGTCTACTTTTTACAGTGTCGATTATGATAAAAGCGAGCATTTTTTGACAGCCCCATTTTCCTTCCATTTCCAGTGCACGGTCAATGGGGCGAGTGGTCTCTGTGGAGTGAGTGTAGCGCCACCTGCGGTGACACAATGGCCAGGTTTCGTGAGTGCGATTCGCCCCGCCCACAATTTGGGGGAACCCGTGCGTCGGAGAGAGCAGAGAGGTGCAGTGGTGCAACGATAAGAGGCACTGCCCGAGTAAGTTTGGAAAACAACACATGAAGAAATTGTAAACCAGTCGGCCATACGTTTTAACCCTAAAACTAGTAAGTCTATCAAAGTCTATCGTAATTTGGTCTGCTGGGTTTTTTTAATGATGGCTTTTCTTTATTTGGCAAGAATCAGTTTGCCAAAATCAATCAAGCAAGTAAACAAACAAAACACTACGACTCCGATGTAGTTTAAGGTAGGTTTTGTATCATTGGTTTCCACATCTTTGCGTTCTCTTCTTTTTAGTCAACCATGAGAAATTCAACCAAGACAATAGTTCGTTTCTGTGGTACATCGTAAATATGCTGGGTATATGTGTGAAGGTTAATTTTTGAAGGCGTTTTTTTGTTGGTTTTTTTTCCCCTTTTCTTTCTAAGTTCATGGCGGTTGGAGGGAATGGTTAGACTGGTCCCCGTGCTCGGTTACCTGCGGACGCGATGGGGAACGCAGACGCATCCGTAAGTGCACGGCGCCAAGGCCTCGGTACGGCGGCCGTGACTGCGTCGGCGACCAGACGGACATCCGGTCTTGCAAGGCAAACGCCCTCAACTGCCCAGGTCAGACCAGTCGGACAAATTTAGGATTTCTAAAAAGTTTTCGATCTCCCCGTTCTATTTCTGAGTTTCGCCCCGAAAAAAATTCCCATCTTTGTAGCAATACAAAAGTTAATCACACATACAAAAGTTAATCACACATTTTTGGAATGTTTACTTTTCAACTTTCGAACTATTTACTTTATAACTTTCGAATTATTTGCGGCCCGACGGATAATTGAGGGGTATCTTTTGTGCGTTGTGCACGCACAAGCAACCCAGAATAAGTCTTTAAGAGCGTATTATCAGATGGTTGAAAATATCCGAACATATTTCCCATAAGAAACATACAAAATGAAAATTCGTTAGGAGGAAGAATCCTATAGGCTACAGTTGAAGAACACGGATAGAACAACCTTCAAGGGCCATGCACCGTAATTTTTTGGAATGCAATCCTTGGAAATGCACCTTTCTATCCCATTTAACCCTATTTCCAAATTTCGTTTTGCCATTTTTAATGGGGTTTTGGTGCCTTTTTTTTGGGGGGGGGGTTGATGCTAATGTATATTTCCATATTCATGAGCAAAAGTGTGATGTCATTTCAGGCAGAAACCTCAATGTTACTGCAATTTCAGCACCAAAATTTGCCCGAATTTGTATATTTCATTGTCGGAAATTTCCTTTTCTTAGGTGATTTGATTCGTTGTTGTGTCAGTACATGGCAGTAAGTCAATGAGCAACCTTTTATCACAAATATTTTCGGCAAGCATATTTTTGGTTTCGTTATTTGAACAGAAAACCCCTAAACTGAACAGTGTTTTCCTGAAATGTCATCCTCAGTGATCATGAAAAGCATGGAAATGTTTTAATGTGTAAACATATTTTGCGTTCATTTAAAAGGAGTAGAAAAATGCACGAAATATGTTCCTCACAAAATTTTAAAGCACGGCCCTTTAAAATATCCGCAGAGCACTCGGTGTTTTGGGGATTTTTTTACATCCATGGTTTTAAGTCTTGATAACGTAAGTTTCCTTTTTGTACTCCGCTAAAAGTACCGTATTAGGCCCCCCCAAAAAAGTCTCTGGTTTCTGGTATGCGCGCGCGTCGCCGTAGCCATGCGCGTCGGCAAAATGAAAAAGGTTTTTTTTCAATGAAAGATGATGTCTCAAAACCGCCAAACTCACTGGTTTGACTGGAATCCTGCTGCTGCACAATTTTAACGTGTTTTTAGATTGGGTTATGGTCGAGAATAAGCTTTATGCGGCCTCTCTGGACTCCCATATATTTGCACTAAGTTTAGTCGGGCACCATTTGCAGTCATCAGCCGACATTTGAAGCAAAAAAGTCAGGTAAAAAAAAAAAAAAGCCGCGTCGCCGCACCACTTTTTGGGCAAGCTCCATACCAGAAACCGGAGACTTTTTTTTTTTGGCCTTAACAACATTTTTTTTTTCAATTGCAATTTTCCTAGCAACATAAAAGTCATTCACTGGGACATTGAACATCAATAGAAATCCACCGACGTATAGTCATTGAATTATTTCTTCGTAAAATGCGAATTATTGACTGCGAGACAATAACTCGGCTCTCGCAGGCCGACTATTTGTGCACGAAACGAAAGCCCTTGTTTTCAGAGGGTTGAAGAAACCCAAAATGGGGTTTTCGTTTAAATACAAAATTCGTTAGAGGAGAAAAATCCATATTTTCGTTTGAAGAGCATGGGATATGCATCTTATTTATTTTTTTTCGGCTATCAAAACGGAACCATTAGCTTCGTAAAGCAGTAGATATGAATTTGAATTTTGCCCTTGCAGTTGATGGCGGAGTCAGCGAGTGGGGTCAGTGGCGATGTCAGGCGGAATGCACAGGTGAAGGGTTTGCGCTGCGGTCGCGCTCATGCACCAACCCCGTACCGCGGTACGGAGGGAGGCAATGCCGAGAACGACTCAACGATATCAGACATTGCTCTGAGGTCATCGTCATCTGCCCAGGTAACCCATTTTTGTTGTTCCATTAGGCCAAAAAAAAAGTCTCCTGTTTCTGGTATGGAGCTTGCCCAAAAAGTGGTGCGGCAACGCGGCTTTTTTTTTTTTTTTACCTGATTGTTTTGCTTCAAATGTCGGCTGATGACTGCAAATGGTGCCCGACTAAACTTAGTGCAAATATATGGGAGTCCAGAGAGGCCACATAAAGCTTATTCTCGACCATAACCCAATCTAAAAACACGTTAAAATTGTGCAGTAGCAGGATTCCAGTCAAACCAGTGAGTTTGGCGGTTTTGAGACATCATCTTTCATTGAAAAAAAACTTTTTCATTTTGCCGACGCGCATGGCTACGGCGACGCGCGCGCATACCAGAAACCGGAGACTTTTTTTGTTTGCCTTATTTGGTTTTCCACTCATTAAAGTACCAACTGTAATCAAACGTGCGTGTGTCAGGAGCTCCCTGCAAGGTCATTGGTCAAGATGGTATGACGTCATAGAGCCAGGAGAGCCAGCATCGAGCATTGTGCTCAGAGATTTTCAACAGCTTTTTTGAAAAGAGCGAAAATTTGGCTAGCAAATTTGTATCACCCGTGTGTCTTTCCTTCTGAAGAGAGACTGTCCTATACAAAATACGCATTGCAACAGTAGTTTAATTACGTCAACTTACATACCCAACGTTAAATATTAACTGATTTTCCCACGATCGACAACTTTTACCTGAGTTATTGCAACAGTGTTGTGGTATGGACCTGATTCATGAGAAAGCCATTTTGGTCGTGTTCCCTAAATGTATTGTATAAATTGTCACCTGTTGAATGGGATAGTGCCAGACTATTTATGGATTGTAGCCTCACTTAAAAAAAATTTTTTAATGTGGCTTAAAACTTTAGGGTGTGTTTAATCACCGATTTTAAATTATTCATCAATACAGACTGGTATTAATTTGTAATTAACTTTTTGCCATTGCTTTCATTTCTCTTCGCAAGATCCAAAAATGAAGATTTTACCTCGCTTTCAATTCAATATGGCCGATTCGTGAATAAAACCCATGGAATAATAATTTTCCCAACTTTTGTTGTTTTTTTACATTATGCAAGCAAAACAAAAATTTTGTTCATGTTTTCATTTCACGGTATGTGCCGCCCGTGGTCGAATAAGAAATAATCTCTCTTTGTCGACCATTTTACAAGGAAAAAACTTGTTTTCTGTTCTTGATTTTTAGTTGACGGTATGTGGAGCACATGGTCACCCTGGAACGACTGCTCGTCGACCTGTGGGGAGGCCAGCTTCAAAACCCGCACGCGGCAGTGCGACAATCCGCCACCGCAGAACGGAGGGCTCAAATGTCAGGGGGAGAAATTCGAAAAAAAAGACTGCAAACTGGGCCCCTGCCCGGGCGATGGGGACTCATCCTGTAAGCAATTATTTGCTCAGTACCCAGTTACACTGGAACTAAGGGTACTGGTTCAGGCAAATTTTTGTAGCGTCTTGATAGGACAGTTGGCCCTTGCCAACTTTTAGGAGCGAGGAAATTGTTTGGGTTTTATTTTAATTAAACAGCCTTATGCAAGAGGATTTGTTTTCATGTGCGTAGTCTGAGCATCATTTAGTTGAAGTTGTCACATTTAAAAAAAAACTTTTATCGAAATTGATCAAACAATTTTGCAATCTGTGGTATTTTGAATGGACAGACTGCATTCGGAATTTTTCTGATATAATGCTAAATATTTTCACGGTGAGAAAACTTTCCAACCCATCTTTGTTTTTATTGCCCATTATCATCTTCTATCAGACATTTATCCAAGATATCACAAATGGGGGAACATCAAAACTGCATACAAGTTACAAATTACAGTTTTTGTTCCCTGTTCCTGCTCGTATCAATTTGGACTCAATATTAAAAAAAAAACTTTCTTTTTACAGATCCCGGGCCAGCCGACTCTTCTGTAGGGGTAAGAGATTAAGAAAACCCACAATATTTGATTATATAAATATTGTATATATATTATCCAGCACAACGTTTTTCAAGGGTAATAAATGGAACGAAAATACCAGAAAATCGTAACGACAAATTAAAAACAACAATTTTACCTAAATCATTAAGAAATGACCAACAGATTATAGAAAAAAAAATCAAGATAGGGTATTGTTTGCAATGAAGCTAAAATTTACTGAGTAAACAGACGTTGACAATATTTTTCTTTAAGAAATTTACAGATATGTATTATTTGGTGTGACTTAATACGGTGTTTCTTTTACACGGATTGTGTGCCGTGATTTCGATAAAATGAACAATTTTAGTTATCTACATATAATGCTATCGTTTCGGGTTTTGCGGTAACACCATGTGGTAATAACTACTGCTTAGAAGATATTAGTTCTGAGAAGAACTTGTCCTGCTTATTATCAACTTGCTAAGTAGTTTTTTGTTCTGTTTAGAACAGTCCTGCTGTAAGTTCTAAAAGAACTTGTCTTTGGTCTCAACGTTTCGACTAGCCTGCTCTAGTCATCGTCAGGAGACTGAAGAAAGTTGGAGATGCTACTCCTTAAGTAGGGTTTGTTAGGATTAGGAGTGCTTGCTGGGCATGCCCTGCTCGCTCGAGTGTGTCAGTTGGTTGTGAGCCATGGGCATTGTGTTGAGGGATGCCCGCTGAGCGTCCTGCTCGCTCGACTGTGTCAGTTGGCTGTGAGCCTTGGGCATTGTGTTGAGGGATGCCCGCTGAGCGTCCTGCTCACTCAGGTGTGTCAGTTGGCTGTGAGCCACGGGTGTTGCAACTTGGAATAACTGAATGCCATATGTGGCTTATGAAGTAGCCGATATCTTGTGGGACAGTGTCATGTTTGTGGATCTCAATAGCTTCTCTGATACGACGGGTGTACCAGTGTTTCTCTGGGGCTATGATTTCCGCTTGTTCCCAATCAACAACATGATCCAGATCAGCAGAGTGTTTGACAATTGCCGATTTGTCAAGTTCCCCTCTGCGGCCGTGAGCTATGTGTTCTTTAAGCCTGGTAGTGAGGTCTCTGCCAGTCTCGCCAATGTACACTTTGCCACATGAGCAAGGAATTCGGTAAACTCCTGCTTGACTTCTCGGGTTGTGCTTGTCTTTGTGGGTGTACAATTTCGTTTCGAGTTTATTGCGAGTTCGGTAGTAGACCTTAATATTGGCTTCACGGAGGATTCGCTGGATCTTGTGTGATGCTTGGCCAATATATGGAAGGACTGCAACCGGCATATCGGGTGTGTTCAGGGTCTGAGACATGCTCGAATCCGGTGCGAGGCTGTGATTCTTAGGTCTGTACCCATTGTCTCTTAGCACTTTATTGAGGTGCTTCAGTTCGGATTGTAGGTGTTCATCATCACTGATGATATGTGCCCTTCGAAGTAGGGTGCGGTTCACCGAGGTTTTCACTGATGGTGGGTGGAATGAACGAGCATTGAGGTATCGGTCTGTATGTGTAGGTTTCCTGTACACAGAGTGTCCAAGTGAACCATCGGCCCGTTTGGAAATGAGTACATCAAGGAAAGGCAATGAATCGGATGTCTCAGTTTCCATGGTGAATTGTATACTCGGGTGTTGTTGGTTGAGATGGCGGAGGAAACCATCAAGCTTGTCCGGGCCATGTGGCCATATGATGAATGTATCATCTACGTATCGAAGCCATAACTTAGGTTGGAATTGAGCTGTTGCCAAAGTTTTTTGCTCGAAATCTTCCATGAAGATGTTAGCCAGGACTGGGGAAATTGGAGACCCCATAGGAGTGCCTGAAGCCTGTTGATAGTAATTGTCTCTCCATTGGAAGTACGTAGACTTTACGCAAGTCAGGAGAAGATCATAGATTTGATCTGGCGTTAAGCTGGTTCTTTCCGTGAGTGTGCCATCTTGTTCGAGTATCGACTTGGTTACGAGGCATGCTTCTTCGGTCGGTACATTAGTGAATAAAGATTTGACATCAAAACTCACTAGCATGTCTGCGGATTGCAATTTAATTCCCTTTATGGTGTTGATGAACCCTGCTGAATTGGGTACATGGTGAGGCGTTTTTCCCACGAGTGGGTGTAGGAGCTTTGTTAAGTGTTGTGCGAGGTTGTAGGTTGGGGAACCTCTTGACGACACAATAGGTCGGAGCGGTTTGTCCGGTTTGTGAATCTTCGGTTGGCCAAAGAATCTTGGGCATTTCGAGCTGGATGGACGAAGATGCCTGTATAATGGAGTCGGTAAGGCTGAGCTACGATTTAAGGAGAGTAGTTTGGCGGCAACTTTCCTTTCGACTGCTGGAATGGGATTTTTCTTGAGGCAAGTATAGGTATCTGTGTTGAGGATATCCTGAACCTTATGGTCATACTCCGTGCGGTCCATTATGACAGTTGCATTACCCTTGTCTGCCTTTAGGATGTGTATCGAAGAATCATTGCGGAAGCTGTTGATAGCCTGGTGTTCAAGTCTTGTTATATTGGATTTGGGTGGCTTTGAGTGCTTCAAGACTTGGTGTATTTGGATACGGATGTTGTCTGCCTTTTCTTTATCCATCTTGCGGATAGAAGGTTCAATCGATTGTATGAACTCTTCCACCGGGATCTTGCTAGGGGTAGTGGCAAAATTCATACCCAAGGCTAGGACATTCGATTCCGTTTTAGATAGCTGGCGTTGGCTGAGGTTTATGACTGAGTTCGCTTTATTCATGTCATCATTGTTCCCTTTGTTTGTGGACGTGTTACGTGAGGCTCTGTCCATTCTCTTCTTGCCACAAGAAATGAGGCGTTGGAATTTTCGGATCTGTTTCCTTTGGGTGGCATGAAAAGTGTGGGATACAGATTTATCCGTGAGGGCGGATATCTTGTCATAATCTGTGGGCTGCATAGTCGTGCGGAGACTATCCTTGCTACTCTTTATTTCTTGATCGGTTCGGAATAGGCAACATCGGGTGGAGGCAATTTGTGATCGGAGTAGGGCTTTATTGGCAGTATGTATGATTCGAGCAGAATTGTTTTCTTTGATAGGGTCTCGTAGGCGGAGACTCTTTGGGACTACGTTCGCATCTCTACATCTCTTCAGAAATGTCAGGTTATTGATCAGTTTGCAACGTCTTGTACAAGAGCGTTGGTATAACTTGACAAGGGTTTTCGTGCGCTCCCCGTAGAGCATACTGATATAAGATTTGAGGCTTTGCATGGTGGGGTATCGGTATCGTTTCGGGTTTTGCGGTAACACCATGTGGTAATAACTACTGCTTAGAAGATATTAGTTCTGAGAAGAACTTGTCCTGCTTATTATCAACTTGCTAAGTAGTTTTTTGTTCTGTTTAGAACAGTCCTGCTGTAAGTTCTAAAAGAACTTGTCTTTGGTCTCAACGTTTCGACTAGCCTGCTCTAGTCATCGTCAGGAGACTGAAGAAAGTTGGAGATGCTACTCCTTAAGTAGGGTTTGTTAGGATTAGGAGTGCTTGAACGATACCGATACCCCACCATGCAAAGCCTCAAATCTTATACATATAATGCTGCTATAAATGAAAATACAGTGATATACCGACAACGGCCGATTCTAGCAAAACCCTTATGACCTATGACCTTATGACCCATCCCAACTTCGGCGTGGGGCTTTTGTTATCTTAATAACTGTCAAAAAAATATTTCGTGCATGGCAATCGTGTGTTCTTATATAGAAGGGCAGACTTCAGATTGAATGCGTCATTAGATTTTGATAATTAAAATATCCAATCGTTTCTTGTCAGCATTCGAGAAGTCCAGCCTGTAAAAGGCTTACTTTTTAGTAATGTGCCTCTCACTCCACGCTGCAATACTTTTTTTTGTTCTGCAACCAACTATAGTCACCGACCGTAATGCACATACGTCAGTTGGTAACATAATGGTTCTCGGACTTTATACTCTCTCCTTTAAAACAAAAATCCCGAGTACCATAAATCGGAAAAAGCCGAAATTTGTCTTTGATACGCAAGCCTTGATTAAACTCAATTTTAGAGAGAAAAATCTTTTTGAGGGGGAAAAAAACAAATGATTTTATCAAGCTTCGAACCAATGACGTCCAGTATATGTATCCAAATCCTTAACCATATCATCAAGTTTTCTCAAATTGCATGATTATATCATACACATCACTTGATATCGTACACATGGCTTTACATGGTTGCAGATGAAAAAACGTCCCTCCATGCTGACTGCGGAGCTCGCCCCTTACTACACAGCATTTCTTTGAATAGAGCTTAAAACTTCTTCATCTTTTCAATGAAAGATGGTAAAAATCGTTGTCCATGCAGTGAAAAAAAACATGGAATAAAATGTCATTTCCCGCGGTTTTTTTTTGCCGCATTTGCAGGGAGGGTCCACTCCGCCATGTGACGATGAAGATTACCCATCTTCGACGGGAGAGGGCGGTAGTGGCTGCCGGGATCCTACCGACGGTAGCAGTAGTGACGTCGACAACGGTGAAATATCCATCGAGAGTTTGGATTACTCTGACTGAATGGTGACAGTATATAACGCAGAGGTATCTAGAGGTGTGTGGAACAAATTAAAGTAGCTCCCGCAGCTCTTTTCATTTTGAAAAAAAAAATCCTTCAATTGTTAAAACGTCCTTCGCGTCACCTTCGAAATTGAGGCCGCAACGTACTACAGAAATATCCAGGATCGGGAATAGATACCAAATATTAAGATGTATCGAAAATTAAGATAACCACCTTGCACTGTTTCATGAGCACTTCGCGGTTGTGATGAAACATCTGTTGGCCCAAATGCATTTGTTTGCAGGAAATCACTGTAACATTTATACATTTTGCGGAACCTTGATTTTCCAAAGGGGGGGGGGGGGGGGGGGGGCGGTTCGGGGCGTTGAATTCGAACATTTTTCCAAGAGGTTAGAGTGGCCTCAAGCAAGAAACCATAGTGATTGATGATGTCATTTAGGGAACAACATTGATCGGTCGGGTATGTTAGAGTCACGACTGATGTGAATCTCCTTTAAATTGTATTTCTCTTCTTCTGTCTTAGGTTTGATTAATATAACTTGTCCTAACTTTTCAAATGAACCACGAAGGGAAACTGACCAGGTGTCTACTTTGTAAAGTCTACTTTGTTGATTATAAATAAAGATCAGTCAGTACAGACACATGTGTCTGCTTTACTGTTTGTTATTGTTGAGTGAGCCATGGTATCCTGTCTGCGAGAGATTGTTTTTACATTCAGTAGGGGACGTTGAACAATGGAGGACAATAGGGTCCACAATTCTCGAAGGTCCACAATTGACAGTTGTGCACAAAACATATATGGGAGATCGTCCTAAAAAGTTGAAGTACAAACAAAAGAGGGACAATAGAAGGTCCACGATTGCAGGTAAATACACACTTGGGTGCGTGAGCGCAGAAAGTGAAAGTGAATATTGATATATGCACAGTAGTGCTTTTGCCAGCTGGTGTCGAATGCTGCAGAGAGCGCGGGGATGGATGAACAAAGCTTATTTACGACGAAGCCATTTTCGATGTGTTACTGTTGAATGGGATGGTGCCAGACTATTTTTTTTTATTATGTGAGGGAAGCTGGCCTCACTTTCGTTTTTTTTTATGTGGCTTAAAGAATTAGTATGTGTTTAATCAAAATTTTGAAATTATTCATCAAAGCAGATTGGTATTAATTTGAAATGAAGCTCTATTTCATTGCTTTCACTTTATTATCAAGGAGTTCCAAAAAATAATGAAGAGTTTACCTCGCTTTCAATTTAAGATGGCGGACTCGTAAATAAGTTCCATCCCACCATTGGAACCGAGGCTCTAAAAGCTAAGCCATTGTATGACCTGAGGAACTTTTCTTTTAAATCCTCTCAACAAAAGACAGGAATGAGGCCCACGGCTATATTCAGTGTCAATTTGATATTCCTCTATTACAGAGCGAACTTGCGATCGCTAGCATATCACGGTCACTTAAGATCCGTTTAATAATAATAATAATAATCACAGGTACTTATATCGCGCTTTTAACTAAGATCAAGGCGCTTTACATTATTATTACCCCTGATCACTGGGCCAATGAAACATTTCAATTACAATCTCAGCTCCCTCGAGAATATTCAGCTCGATACTGCCATTTCGGCGCAATTCAGCTATAATCTACCACAATAACCATATCTACCCTCACAGGTACCCCATCATTACTCCTGGGTGGGGAGAAGTAATGAGTGACAAAAAGTACCTTGCCCAAGGGCACACGCACCATGGCCGCAGGCTGGACTCGAACCCACAACCTGAAGAACTACCAAGAATTCTATGCTCCAGACCACGAGGCCATGGCGCTCCATGAACCGTTTTATATTTCCTTTTATGTTTTTATTTGATATTTTTCCTTTTTTTCTTCGGAGGTCCATTTTACCAAAATCTTTGTGTCTGGAAATTTTATAACGTAACAAATGAACTGATATGAAGGATGATGTAACCAAAAAAATGAAATAAAAAGGGCTAAGGAATTTCCTTTTTCACTGTTAGTCTTTTATATATATATACTTGTTTTAAAAATGAGCAAATCCTTTAACTTTGTCTACTGTTCTTTTCCGTTCTGTTTTGTATTTTTTTTATATATATTTATTTATTGCTGATTCACCCACCGATCTCTTGATGTGCAAGACACAGTGGCGTAATTATAGGGGTTGGGGAGTGCAGCGTGGCAGATTGCAACGGGCTATAGACTTTTAAAAAGCGTAATCAGGACGCTGATATGAGCAAAATTGGGAAGGCGAAATCGGCCTGTCGGAAAATCGTACGTCCTTCGGGAAATCTGCAGGGATAAAAACGAACATGTCCATGATTGTTCCTTTTTATAAACAGTGCCCCCTATCAGAAGATGGTGCGAACCACCGTCCCCAGGACAGAATACGAACAGGCAGGGAATTTCTTAAAATATGCTTGAACGTGATGTGGAATATGTAATTTTGCCCATTAATGAAATTGAATGCCTGATCAACCCCTTACTGCTGGTTCAGACGAAATTGAATAAAAAATACGACACTTTTAATTTGAATGCATCTTTTACAGCAACAAGCTAAAAGACGATAGAGTATTCGGATACTAGTGAAATTGAATGATTCTTTTTAATTGTCGAATGACGATCTGTGTGATCTTTCAATTTCAATCTAAACTGAATGAACTAGGCGTTAAATTGAATTGGCCGGGAAAATCTATATTTTGTATTGCTGATTATTGGGGTTCAAGTTCACTTCCAAAAAGGAGGGGTCCACTCCCCATCCCTCGGTTCACTGCTCATCTCAAAATTGTTGGTTCAACCCCGATCTCTCTCAATATTGCTCACCTGATTTAATTTACTTTGTCATCAGTGAAAAACCATAAAAAGTTCACTGTTTGATTTTGCTATATAAGTTTTTATTGATTGTTTTGGATTTTGATTTGTTTATTTTCCACATGAAGTTGCTCGAATAATGCCCTGAATGTGCCATACGAGAGAAGCTCTCTTCAGATTAAAAACAAAATATACAAATCATCAATAGCGACCTCTATCGCCTAATAATTTCTTGGAACATGATACTATTTTGCATGGGGATTGTTTACATACAATTACCCAAATATATTTCGATCCGTTGCATTATCTGAACGCAACTTGATTGAATTTGCACAATTTAAGGATATCTACACGTTTATTTGAAATATTAAGTCATGACGAACTGTAGCTTTTGAATGGTTTCAAATCACTATTATTAATGATAACCCCTTAAAAAAAAATGGTCTGTTCCAGTCCATTCAGCACGCGAATCGTTTGGGCGCTTTTCAAGCCGCAATGGGCGCTCCAAGTGTCCAACGTCTGCTGTTGCAATTGTGCATATGGGAGCACAAATTGGGCTACTGGAACCAAATAGTAGGTCACATGTGTTTTGTGTGTACACAATGTACGTGCGCCACACTGCACTAGCTACACAGTACGCAGAGGTAATAGACGTGATATGCCCCGTGTGTTGTGTAGTATGTACGAATTGACAGCTACTTATTCGGCACAGTCACTAGCTGTTCATTAGTTGATTTCTTCAGCATCAGCTGGCGTAATAATCTTCTGCGATTCCGAGGCCTTTGTGGGATTCATATATTTTTTTTTCTCGGACTTTTGTTGCCGTTGCTTCCAGTACCAGGACTTAACAGAACGAACGGCAGACATCATGCCGCTCTTCGGCCACCGGGAAAAGCGAGGGCGTGAGCCCAACCGGCCAAGGCTGGAGGATAAATATGACCTCAAGGAAGTGTTAGGAACGTAAGTTTTTTTGTTGTACTTGTATTGTTTGCATTTTCTGCCTCTTTTGTCATGTCAGCTGATTACAGTAAGCAACTTTTGCCCCCTGACGTGCCTGATCGATTATGTGAATGGAAAAATGGTTTTCCTCAGAATATTCTTCTTGGGCATGTTGGGTTTTCCTCCCTCATCTAATTAACTGTAATTTCTTCATATTGACAATAAATAAATGACATTACTAATGGGAGACCAGTGGAGTGGATTCCACTGAATGGGTTACCCAGCTAAAATAAAGGAACAAAAATGTTGCAACCTGACGCCACTGTTTTTTTTTTTTACATATCTCAATGAAGGTCAGTCATTGCAAAAAATAAGACATGAATCTGGGTCTGAGAAACATTTCCAATTTTGTTAGGAAATACTTGGACATTTTTCTTGACTCTCCATAGACTTTGTACACAACTGCTGAAGTGGCATCAGATTGCAATATTTTTCCAAAATAAAAAAGTAACTATTAAACAATATTAAGGTAACACTTTCCTACTCCAAAGGCCTAGTGTTGTTTCCTACCGTCTTTTTATAATTTGGATGTGAGTTTTATATCGGAACATTTCCTGTGCTTTCTTAATGATGGTTTCTGATATATAAACAAGCTCACAATATGTTTGTGGGGTTCTGTGTACAAGAAGCACAAGGATGTATGGTTTACTGCAGGATCATAAATGCAGGAATTTGCACATGAAGTTGACTAGTCCCGTTAACGAGGCGTCAATAACAACGCCATGCTCCAGCCTCACTCAAAATTGTCACGGAGCACGTCATATTGCCAGTAGGGCCTATAAGTACTTACATACAAAGCTTTCTGTAAATTCACGTCAGCGTAGGATCTTGCATTGCCAAGAAATATGAGTGGAAAAAAACCGACCTCGACATCACAAAGATATGAGGTAAACTTTTGATTTTCTGAGGTCACGCATACTACGCTGGTACTCCGAGTCATGCACGCGCGAAATGGTAGGAGCCGTCTGGGTACCCATACAATCTTGTACGTTGAATGTTTCAACGCAACTCTGGAGCGTGGCTACATGTATGTAGCCATGTTCACGGGTCTAGAAGTTGACGTGGCGTGGCTAACTAGCAAATGGCGATAGGTCAATTGTCTGATTTTTTTTTGATTTTTTTATAAATGGTAATGAACTTATTGGCACCATACATGTGTGTGTGTGTATGTAAACCTGTATATTTCAGGCACAGATGTCAAGAGTACTTACAACCCTGATCAATGAAGCAAAAAACTACTGTTTCAATAATTTTGTTTATTCAGTTTTGTTATTATTTGTTTCTTTGTCAGGGGTGCCTTCTCGGAGGTGGTGATGGCAGAAGACAAGCACACAGGAGAATCGGTAGCAATAAAATGCATCGACAGAAGAGCACTCAAAGGGAAAGAGGACACACTGGAAAACGAGGTCTCCGTCTTAAAGAAGTAAGAAATCGGCTCCACCTGCTTGATTCATCCATCTAATTGCCTAGACTTAAACCCTCAGGCTATTCAAATCCTGAGAGTCACTGAGCAGTTGTAGTTCAGAGCTGTGTTGTAGTCAAGGCCATCACAAGTCTTCTCAAGTCCTCTTAAAGCCAGAGTCCATCATTTGCAGCCATCCGGAAAGTAACTGACGTAATTATTGTTGAAAAACATACTTGGTTGAAAGATAGTAAGGGGACTAAACTCCCTGTGAAATTATTCTTTCTTGTAAGCTGTCATTTTGAAGAAATCGACCAAACAAGGCCTTTCCAACGGTGCGTCTTAAGAAGCGCTGTAGGAAATTTAAATTAGTAGTTCGTTTTGTTATTCGGCGAAGCGCGCGCAAGCATTGGCCCGACGTACACGTGAGTGCGGTTGCTATAATTCGTCGGATCAGTGCGCTACATCGCGTAGCTGCAATCGGCTCAGTGAGAATGTGTCTCGGACGCTGGATTCAGGCCCAATTCAAAACATGATTCAGCAAGTTTTGATTTACAATCGAGATCCTAGAATGTTGTTTTTCTAAAAAAATGCAGCTGAAGCTGAGCTGAAACTTAATCAGATTGGTTGTTAGCATCTTTCTTCAGATATTGAGCACTTTTGCTGCTTCAAACAAATTACAAATGATGGACTATACCTTTAAAGTCCATTACAAGTCCTCCAGTCTCAATTCAAGTCACAGGCTATTCAATGTAATTGTGACTGGACTTGTGAAAGGACTTGCGGTGGACTCCACTACAGCACTCGTTTTTAGGGGTGTGCATTTAGGGGTAGAACAGGAACCGGGTACGTGATTGAAAAACCCCCACGGGTACCCAGGTACCCGTTAAAGAAACCCAGCTGGACTTGTGAAAGGACTTGTGGTGGACTTGTGGATGCAGGTGGACCCCTCTACAGCACTCGTTTTTAGGGGTGTGCCTTTACGGGTAGATGCATTTACGGGTAGAACAGGAACCAGGTACCCGATCGAAGAAAAAAAACACCCACAGGTACCCAGGTACCTGACATTAAAGAAACCCAAGGCCAAACATGCCAAAATTCAAATCTCGGAAGTTCCTGTTGAGATTGTTTGCTAAGGTCCACACGATAATACTACCGCATCAGCGCATCAATACGGCAAGATACAAGTGTACAGTGAGCTTCAGGCCTATAGCTTTTTGGTGTAAACTGCAGCTGTGCGACTGCGAGTGTCATAAATGTAAACTATGTTTTGTTTTGTTTTCCCATGTGGCCTGGTCTTTATTTTGAAAATTCCCCACAAATGACTTCAAAACCTTTCTTTTTCATTGTCTGAGAAGTAACTAAGTGTGAAAAATAATTAAGCTGCTGCAAACTATTCACTGACTGGATTGACCTGAAATATACAAATCAAAAAGTTGGAGAGGCCTGATATATTCGTCTTTAGCAAAGACTTCTTCAGAGGCAAAAGTAAAGTTCTAAGTAAGCCTAATTTGTAAAGTTTGTTACGGGTACCCGATCCCATAATCTAGAACCAGTTCCTGACAATAGTGATCGGGTACTTGAGTACCAGGTTCCGATGCACAGCCCCTTCTGGTTTTAAGGGTCACGTGTTGCAAGTCCCATTTTTTTTGGGGGGGGGGGGAGGGGGTGGGGGAGTTTGTTGTCTGGGGGGGCCATGGCCTCATGGTCTGGAGCATTGAATTCATGGTCTGCAGGTAAATCTGCAGGTTGTGGGTTCGAGTCCAGCCTGGGTTATGGTGCGTGTGCCCTTGGGCAAGGCACTTTGTCACTCATTGCTTCCCTCCACCCACTGTGATTAATTTTATTCGCTTTGCGGCCGAAATGGCAGCATCGGGCTGTATGCTTCCCAGGGAGCTGAGGTTGTCTTTGGAATGTTTCATTGGCCCAGTGAGATGGGTAATAATGATGTAGCGCCTTGGGCACCAATACTGGTGGATACGTGCGCTTTATAAGTTATTATTGAACAGGGCACCATTTCATGGAAATGCTAACAGAGAATAGTGCTTACGTGTAGCCAATTTAATGTGCTTGGCAATACAAAAAAAACAACAACTGAGAACCACTCACAAGCAAAACAACTTGATGATTGCATGATGTCTAGCAAATATTTATGTATAACATTTGCAAACATAAAAAACAATGTTAAGGCCCAAAAAAAAAAGTCTCCGGTTTCTGGTATGGAGCTTGCCCAAAAAGTGGTGCGGCGACGCGGCTTTTTTTTTTTTTACCTGATTTTTTTTGCTTAAATGTCTGCTGATGACTGCAAATGGTGCCCTACTAAACTTAGTGCAAATATATGGGAGTCCAGAGAGGCCACATAAAGCTTATTCTTGACCATAACCCAATCTAAAAACACGTTAAAATTGTGCAGCAGCAGGATTCCAGTCAAACCAGAGAGTTTGGCGGTTTTGAGACATCATCTTTCATTGAAAAAAAAAAAAATTTCATTTTGCCGACGCGCATGGCTACGGCGACGCGCGCGCATACCAGAAAAACCGGAGACTTTTTTATTTTTGGCCTAAATTATTATGAAATAGAAATAGCTTACTTGACTATAAGTGAATAATAGTCTCAAGCATCCTGTGAAATCATGGCACCTGGTGTGCTGTCATTTTGAAGAAAATTTGAATTTTGGACCAGTTTCCAGTGATGGTTGCTTTTGTTAATTTTGTTTTTCAAGACCGTTCATAAAACACTGAATGAAATTTCCAATTATTGTCGGCACATTTCCAAGCCTTGCTATTATTAAAGTACTGTGTTTTTCAATGGTCAATGCAGATGTTCCCTTTTTCCAACTACCTCCACAGTAATCTACATGTAGCTAAAAAAAATCTAAAAATAAATGGTAGCTTAGGAATCTGTTTCCAATGTACCCGGCAAGGAAAGCAGAATATTTAGGTCTATTTTAATGGGGCCTTCCTTTTTTAGTTTTCAGTCACAATTTTTCATTTCATTTTTTTTTGAAGAACACACCATTAAAGGAAATGTACAACATTTGCTTTTGCTGGAATTTTCAGAAACAAATGGATTTGGAGGATTAGTATGTTAGAGAAAATATTGTTAAACTGACTTGTTTTATGTTTTGGGCTTGTACTGTAGATGCTGGAAAAACAAAGAAAACCTATCTTGTTCTTGTAGTCTGGTTCCCTGACCCCACTTAAGATGAAATGGAGCAATTAATTCACTTTGGGGAATTGTAAGGTCATGAAAAATTAGGAACATTTGTTGGAAAAAAGCCAGTTTTCTCCAACACTGGTCGGCCGACCAGCGTTGAAAAAAATACAGTTTTTCTTCAAAATGTCAGCACACCAGGAGCCACGATTTTACAGGATGCTTTAGACTGTCATTCCCTAACAATTCAGTTAGGTGTTTCGTGATAATTTGATCATTTCATTTTTTTGATGTTTGCAAATGTTGTATCTTCCCTTTAAGTGAAAAAACCCAAATGAATACATGTAGGAATATATTTTCTAAAAATTATAAAAAAAAGTAATACGCAAACAAGAGAATGTAAAGTGAAAATAATTTTGCATGTCTCACACTCACAGAAACCCCCCAAACTAACTACATACCGGTACATGTAAGCTGTGTAAGGTATATGGTTCACGCACCTTCGCAACTGTTATCGTGCCTCTAAGCAAGTACCCTTTACAATTTGGTAAATTGATACACTTTTAATCCACATCACTTTGATAACATCATGGTTATTATGTGTGAATGCCCGCCAAGTGGAAAAACGCCTGGCATTTATGACGCTGGATGCCTACCGCCTTACACACTTGACCCAGATATAGTTGTCTTTTTATAAACCGCGAGGGAAACTGTGCAAGACTTAAGCTGTCAAGAGCCACAATTTTTGTATGGAAGTTTTAAAGAAAATAACTTGACATATTTCGGTGAAAATATTTTGCAGTGTGTAAATAATTTTGAATTTAGTGTGTGAGTGTGTGTGTTGCAGGGGTGAGATTCGTCAGAATTTCTCCTGATGGTAGGATTTTAAAGGGAATATATACAACATTTGCTAACATCAAAAATCAAAACTTCATGTACCAAATTATTATGAAATACCGGTACCTTACAGGACTGTTAGTGAAGTACGGTGTTTAGCAACCAGTGGAATCCCAGATATTGAGAGGATGTTGCCTCTCATCATATTAAGTGTATAGATACCTTTGCTGGTATGTCATGTCTGCCACTACGGCCAAAATGTTACACGTTCGTGGGCTGCTTGGGGAAGATACATGTATGGTACATGTATGTCAAAGTTACATCTTGCCAAATATTATTTTTCATTCAGCGATATCAACTCATGATTTATAACTTTTTACAAAAAATAAAAAGTAGAGCCAATACGCACTTGGCATAAAATTTTTATTAGCCATCTGATACGGTTGCAACAGCTTTTTTTTCAATATTTTTTTCTTCGTTCAACTGACCCTAATTCAGAGGCAAAAAATGTGAGAACCTTAGAAGTAAAGAGCATGCCCTTATCCCCCCCAAAAAGCTACATTAATCTCACTCCAGACATGATTAGGTAATGGGTTTATTGTGTTCTTGACAAAAGTCTGCGCACAGCATCCCCTTGTTTTCTTGCTGTATGATTTGCAGCGTGTGTACACATGTATCTAAGCTAGCCTACATGGAAACATCAACATTCACATAATGCTTCAAATAGCACTTCATTGTGTTTGCTTTATGAAAGAAATGAGTTCAATCTGATTTGCCTTGGACAATACACATGTAGGGCTCGCTCAATGATGGCCATCTCTGTAGGAGAACTGCAACGGAATATTTTACGCAATCGAGCATTAAGCAGTGTTGAAACTGTTCCAAACAAGCGCGCTTGTTGCTCGAAATGTGTTCAAAATACGACGCAGCCGATGCGCGTTATGCATGTTGACGCTCAAAATGCCGACACACGTGGTTGCCGATTTATTAATTATAGTCTTTGATACATGTACATGTCTACTACTGAGTACTACACATATTTTAAAGAAATACTATAAAAATCATGCAATAAAAGTGTTATAAAGGGAAAAACAATGGGCATCTTTCAAACAACTACAAAACAGTCGAAACGCTAAAGGCCTTGGGCAATTCCACACCAAAGTGGACATGACACCAAAAAATTCAAATACATGTGACTTAAACAAATTTGGCATCAAATGAAAGCTAAAAGTCTATATTTTCAAGATTTGAAGTCAGAATTTTATTTTTTATACATTTCGGTACCAAAAAATAGGATTATGTAATAATCCTGTTTTAATCCTAAAAATGTGATAAATAGTGATATGAAAGTATTCTACCAAAACACACACAAAAATATGTACTAATGCCATCAGTTTCTATCATGAGAAAGTATTGGTCTTGAAAAACTGACTAAAACTTGTTTTTAATGTTTTGCGTAATTTGCTTCGCTTCAGTGACTCCTAATATTTCAGCCTTCGAAAATGTCCTTCCGTTACCGAAAAAATACATATTTTTAATTTATTTTTAAAACTTGCAGTATGAATGCAATGAAAGTTATTGTGCAAAGCAAGTTTAGGTAGGCCTTCAATATGACATTATAACTGACACTGCTGTACTTCTCGTTTTTTAATTACAATTAATTAAATCACGTCCTTCCGTTACCAAATTGGTAACGGAAGGACGGTAACGGAAGGACAAATCGTATTTTTATCAAATGTTACGACATTTGCGCTCATGTTTGAAAAATGAAAATCACTGCAAATACATGCATGTATAATGAGCATTGAAAGGACATTCATGTGACCCACCTTCACAAAAGCGGGATAAGCAGGGCAAGGTGTTTATTACAAAGGAAGGCACAGGCATGTACAACATGTACAATGTACATGTACATATATGCTGATGTACCAGTACTTGTATGTATGGAGTTGTTGCAGAAAATCAAATCATAAAGTTGCTGCCATCAGCATTCATGAACAATAGAGAAAGATACGAATTCTGTGAAGCCATTCCAGAAGCAAATTAAGTCAAAAATGAGATGGCAGAAAGTGCCGGTACTTTGGGGCACTTTTATTCAATTTACATGTGTAAGACATGTGAGGTGCAATCTTTGACAAATTATGCCCAAGTTAACAATTTCAGTTTAGATGTTTATAAATTAATTGTTACTACTCTAAATCATTGTAATTTGATTTCAAACATTGATTTTAGAGTTCAATTAAAAGGAAAACCTAACTGAAGCCATCAGTTCTACCGGTAGATGTTTTTACCTTAAATGTACATGTAAGCTGGTTCCCCCCCCCCCACCCTTTAGGTAAATCTTTGAACCTACCGGTATTATTATTAAAAGTTGTTGGTGAACATGTAACCAATATACTCAAGAGTTCAAATACTGTGTATTTAAACTTTTAAGGATTGAGGTGATGGGTTTGAAGTCCATTTCTGTAGTTGTCTTGTGTTCGTGAATTATGTGTTTTGGGTAGTTTTCGTTTTTCTTTTGTTATCATTAATTAGCAGGCTTCTATCTTTATCTCAATAGTTTCTTGGGTATAATTATTTATGCCAGGTCTGCATATTGTTGATTTCACATTCAGTTACACATTTCAGCAATCTGTTTCACTTGTATAATTAGTGTAAATTCACATTTTGTTCATGCTATAATTGAGTAAACCTTTTGTCCTTCCGTTACCGTCCTTCCGTTACCAAATCATAATCGGCTTAAAACGTTGTAATTATATTACCGAAACACTTAAAGTCAAATGAAAGGCGGTATAGTATAGATAAAGCTTCAGGGATTCCATTTCTTACCTTTAAAATATAATTGCCCCATAAAATTCACAGAGTTTACGCAAAACGCGAGTAAGTTGGAAAACCCTTGTCCGTTTTACCGTCCTTCCGTTACCGACCTCATTAATATTCATAATTCATAAACGGGAGGCATTCATGCCCCCCAAAAGTGTGGAAAATGAAAGTAGCATTATAGCAATACAATTTTGACATTTGTTTGCTGTAACTATGAACAGTGTCTGTGATACACACATTTGAAATTTTGTTTCATGAGTGAAAACGTCCTTCCGTTACCGTGGAATTGCCCCCTTTTTTTCTCAGTATTTTACTTCTTTGAGATGTCGATAAATGCAAATTTTTAATTTTCAAAACTTATCAATAGAATGTCCATTGAAGTGCAACAACCAGCACTGTGCCTCTGTCGGTGACTGTAAGGAGAATTTTATTCTCTTTCCTAATACCCACAAACACTCACTGGGACCTCTGCCCAGTTGTGTCTCATTTTGCCACAACACCTCACAAATGTGTTGCCAAAAAACCTTCAATATTGCATATGATAGGCCCTACAGAATTTTTAGTGTGTATCAGGCCACATGTGTACTGTACACGTGCATGTACAGTACAAGTGCATTGTGCCAGTACATGAATTCCATGATAAACCTAATGCAATTTATTTCAGTGCTTACTGATATGCACCATTTGGGAGTCAAATTTTCGTCATTGAAATCATTTGCATTGTGAGCAATGGGCCATAGGTTCCAACAGCTTTACAATGTTTTTGCTTTGGTATAGGCCTACAGTATGCACTCATGTTTGAATAGATGCACACTGCAGTGTTTCCCCTGGCTACACGTAATAAACTGAGCGAGGTGGAAAAAATTCAAATTGATGATTGAAACAAAATTTACGCAGTCTACATTTTGTACAAACTGAAAAGAATGCAGCGCTCACAAAAATGTGCGATGATTTCATCTACATTGAGTTCTTGATACATAGGTGTCGTGGAAATCACTCATAATCACACAAAATGAAAATTTGTCGATTTGTATTTCCTTTATAAATTGCAAATCTTCACAGCGAAGTGGTGATATTGGCAAAAATTGAGCGAGGTGGTCATTGAAAGTAGCGAGGTGGGCCGGCCGCCTCACGTTTGAATGGGCAGGGGAAACACTGGCACACTGTAATACAGTAGATCTAAGAATGGGCCTTTACTGGAATGTTAAATTTGTGATAAAATGAAGAATTTGTCCAGTGTTACTACCCTAGATTGCAAAAATTCTCTGTCTTGTTTCTGCAGGATCCGGCATTCAAATATCGTGAAGCTGTATGAGATCTTTGAAAACAAAACACACGTGTACCTCGTCATTGAACTGTAAGTATTCACTCCTTCCATCTTAATTTACTAATAAGGTTCCTCAAAGTCTAATGGACTCCGTTTGTGAACAAGAGAGGGCGTATTTTTTTACCACCTGTGACAGCTCAATGGACGGGATACACCACGTGCATGTACTGGTTTGCGTGCGTAAAGTGCAGAGTACACATGACTAATTGTGCACAAAGCAATTGCTTTGAATAATAACAATAAAAATAACAGGTTTTTGTATAGCCCTTTTAACTAAGATCAAAGCGCTTTACAAATGTACATCATTGAAGCGTCACCATCAGGCGTCGTTGGCAGTGAATTGGAATGTCTCTCCCAGTGGTCTCCCCCAACTCTCCCTTTCTTGCCGTTTAGAGGGTACCTGTGCATGGTGCCCATAGGAGGTTTTGGGAATTTCCAGGAATTAGGTTTACTTACCGTAGGAATGGGCCATTGGTTTCCTGCGGATCGGAGGATTTTTCGGTCCTCTGAATGGGGTCCGCTCAGAAGTCCGACGCCTCATAGGTCCGACGCCGCATAAGTCCGACAAAATCGCATCCCCTAACCAAAAACAGGCCCATAAGTCTGACGCCTCATAGGTCCGACGTCTCATAAGTCCGACGCCTCATAGCTCCGACGCCTCATAGCTCCGATGCAGGTCTGACAGATTAAACTCCTTGTTTTTCCAACGTCGGACTTATGAGGCGTCGGACTTATGAGGCGTCGAACCTTTGAAGCGGAATAAATACATTTTATGCCTCATAAGTCCGACGCCTCATAAGTCCAAAATTTCGGATTATGAGGCATCGGACCTATGAGGCATCGGACTTTTGATACGGCCCCCTCTGAATTTAGTAAAATCCAACAAAACCGTTTGGTAACTAGTTGGCACAGTATGTAAAGTACATACTTTCGGTGGGTAAGTGACCTTGCCTAGGTTGCTTTACTGTTCTGAATGCATTCAATTAAGCAACACCTGAAACAAAGATAACAAAAACTGAAATCTTTAAAAAATGTTTTACCCAATTACCTTTCAGCGTACAGGAAAAAAAAAGCAATTATAGAAATCTATTTAACAATTATTGCATCTCTATTCGACAAGACCACCCCCCATCCCCCTCCAATCGCCCCCCCCCCAAAAAAAAAGGTATTAAAGAAAATTTAAAAATGTTATAGTTTGAATTATCAGTGAATACATATTTTGCTGTATCTCGCTTTGCATATGTGACTGTCTGATGGTTTTTCTCTCCACAAACCACACCGGGCTTGCCCGCCAGAATCCACTCCAACCAGCTCGATTTCCAATGCAAAATGGCTCCACTCAGAAAAATTCTGAGGGCCAGTCACTGCATACTAATGTCAAACAACACTATTGGAGAGGTGTGCTCGAAGGCATACAAATGGGGTCATTTGCGCGCATTAATGTGAACTACGTGCAGCTGGATGCACGTGTACATACAATTAGCATGGCTATTAATGTTCCCTTGATACATGGTGTTGCCATAAAGGGTTTGTTGCAAACTCAAGTGTATGCTTGTGAGTACGCCTACATGAACTTGTGTATTGTCTGATGTGACAGTCTCATAGTATCATTTGAAACTTTACAACTTTATCTCTAGAGCATAGCGAATTTTTAGGGGAAACATTTTCTGGAGTGTGAGATCGGACTGGTACAAATAACCACAACAAAACCTAAAAAACCAGTTTGTAATCGCGCTAAAATGAATGTGAACGGGAATTTGTGACTTCACGCCAGGTACATGTACATGTACATGTACGTATTCCTGCTGTGACCTCAAACGATTCTCATTTGACCTCAAATGAGAGTGGGAGTTTTATTTGACCGTAATAATGACTATCATTGTTCTGAAAAACCAGTAGTCTAAAAGTAGGCCTATACGTTGATTTAGAAATCCTTAGCCTGATGATTAAAATCACTGGAATCAATCAGTGCTAAGATGCATGCATGTACAGATACTTCTGGGTGTACATTTGAAACCTACTTGTAGATGTATGCTGTAGCAAGTGCACTGCATTTTTCAAATATTGGAACACGGACTTGATCAAATGTTCAAAATGCACTGATCAAGTTTAACATACGCTGCCGAACAGGCTATGTATGTGCCTGCACTTGTCAAAAATTGACAAAGACCTTCTTAAAATGAAATAGAGCAGTTTCCAGAATGCCTCATAAAACAGTTGTATTTGACAGATTTTAACGAAGAAATTGAGCTACATTGTAATATCCCCATGGAATTGCGAAACTCTCAAGTCGTGCCGGAAAGTGGCTTAAATTTTGATGAAACTGTAGCATTTGACAAACAATAAATCCGGCAACTAACACGATTGTGGGAATTGTTCATCATCTCTTTGAGACTGCCGATATTTCTCTCGAATAGTTGAAGCGAAAAAAATATGCCATTCAGATATTGGGTTGGTGATTGTATATTCGCCACAGCTCTAGCTGTATAGCACCTATGGGCCGATGCCTTCTGCAGTTGTGTGTTCAGACTTCAGTGGTACAAACTGCCCTTGAATTTAGTCAGAGTTAGAGGCCTAATAGGGGGTTCATTCAAGGAGACAGTATTGTGCTCAGTAAATGCTGCTTTGGCTGCCTCCATTTAGCTCAATTCACTGTACAGCGGCTTGGCAACAACAAGGAGCGAGGATAAAGACAGGTCAAGATGCACAGATACATGTGGCCACTGCACTCTGACAAATAATTGTCTGGTAGTGATCCTAATCTCATTTTTAATGTAATTGTGGTTTGCATACATACATGTTCATAGGCAATACATTTTCTCCTTGATGATATTAAAAAAAATATAAATGAAAAAAAAATGTATACAGTGTATTCGAGTTTAGCTGACCTGTGCAAGATACACCTAACCCCACCCGACGCATTCCACCCTATCCCATCCCACCGCATGCTGCCCCATCCTGCCCCATCCTGCCCCATCCCCACTCGCCCCATCCCAAACCCAACCCTCGCCCCATCCCAACCCCACCCCCCACCCTTGCCCCATCCCAAACCTCAACCCTCGCCCCATCCCAAACCCCAACCCTCGCCCCATCCCCACCCCACCCCACCCCAACCCAACCCTGTCCACATCCACACCATACCCCCACCCTACCCCCACCCTATCCTAACCCTACCCCATAATAACATGAAAAAGAGGAATTTACTCTCCTACATAATATATTTAAGAATTTTAATCTTTGTGTACGGTACTTTCAAAATATATTTCCATTGATGATCGTACCCATGACATATTATTCACACAAACCAAATTGATTACCACTCTGTCCACAGACGAGGCGAGAGAGCACTCTGCAAATTTACCCCCTGTAAATAATCATAAAAATTATAAATGAAGAACAAACGTTGTGTAAAACGATCTACAAAGTATTGATTTTTACATTGATCAGAGTGAAATTACTCATGTGTGCCCTAACCATAGAGCTGTTATCTATGGCCCTAACACCGGTACCTGCTGGGACTGAGTGAGTGTGCATGTGGAGCACCTGTAAACGTGAGGCGTGACATGAAAATTCACTTAAAATTCTGTTAATTTAAGCACTTGCAGAATTACAATAAATGTTCTAATATGTGTGGTCTACATACATGTACATGTACATTGTAATTTGACAGAATGTCTTTTGCTTAAATGCATTGAATTGTACATGCTTCTTAATATGTTCAATCAGTGTATAACAGTTACATGTAAGTGTTTTTGACAGTTGTCATGACAACCAAGACAAGAAACTTCACTTAACATCTGGGGTTTTCTGTTCTCTCGAAATTCCAGTGTTCTGCATCCTTGGTCAAGATATATTTGTACAAAGTGTATACATTGTATAGATGGACCATATGATATTATTTATTTAACCTTGCACCATAAAGTACTGTGTCCAACTGTCTTGACAAGCTTGTTTGGTTAGCAAAGGTCATACATTTGTACATACAGGATGTATTGTGCATAAAAAGGAAAGCAAGGCACATAAGAACTACCGGCAGCACAGATCATTTTTATACCTCATACATCCGTTAAACCCTAGTTTACAAAATTAGAAGTGAAATTATTTTTAAAAACCGTGATATTTCCCTTAATTACTTGGCAGTGTAAAATACTAACCAATTTTTAATACAAAATTAAAATTCCCAAATTACAATTACAGCCATGCCTTTTTGCTACACAAGATAAAGATGCATTCAAGTTTTTACTTTCCATATTGATGTTTTTTTTATGAAACATGTCACTGCCAAACATTGTTTTTCACAGAATTTTTTTTTTAAATGAGCATCTTCATTAACAATACGGTACATGTTATTTTCTTAGTTTGGGATGACTTGATCAATGCAGCAACACCTTCGCTATTTTTTGTTCTTCTGGCGATTGCATTGTACACGTATCAATGAATGCTGCATGTACACTGCACATGTAGATCGTATAACCCACAGCCCAATGGGATGGACCTTGAACTATTCCTTTTTGCTCGCTCGATTTCCTTCGAGTGAGAGAATTATTAGATTTCTAGAATCAACAAAAGGCCCGGACATGCAACAGCGTGGCCGGCCGCACACTGTGTGCATTGAGTGCGTGTGATGATAAACTGGCTGGGAAGAGCCGCAGACTCATAAATTTATTGTGTGGCTTTTTTGTACACGGTCATTTGATATGGCGTGAACCCCATCCCGGTAGTATCATCATTGATGTTGTTGAAGGATGTGCAATGTCTGTTCTAATATTTCTGTTATTAATATTTCATAATATTAATATTTCCTCATTTTCCACTTCTTAGAAAATGACAAATTTGATAAAATCAATAAATCCAACCTATTTTTAAAAAAATAATATATAAAAAGTATTATAGATAAAATTCAAGAGATCCTGTCCGGAGTAAATCAATCTGGATTACAAAGTTCACATCAGCAGTTTCCCATTAAATTTGTACAATGTTATGTCTTTATTAGTGTAAAGCGTTCTGTGAATCTTATTCAAATAAGATAT